CAGGCAACCAACCAGCCAACCAGCCAGCGAGCCAACCAAGCAGCCAACCAGCCAAAGAACCAGCCAGCCAGCCAACCAGGCCACCAACCAACTGCCAACCAGCCACGAGGGGGCGGAGCGTGCCGAGAGGCATCTCTGAATAAAGCTGGCATCTCTGAATCAAGGAATCCTGAGGAATTCCGAAGATCCCACGCATGGTTGTAATTGGTCTCATTTCTGGTTGGAATTGGTCTCATTTCTGGTTGCAATTCGCTCCGAACGGTTGGAATTGGGACTAGTCGGTTGTAATTCGTTCCATTTCGGGGGGCATCGTGGGCCCCGCCACTCGAGGCCTCCCAGATGGGGTCAGAGTAGAAGGAGGAGGAGGAGGAGGGGGAGGAGGAGGGGGGGAAGGAGGAGGAGGAGGAGGAGGAGGAGGGGAGGAGGAGGAGGAGGGGAGGAGGGGGGAGGAGGAGGGGAGGAGGAGGAAGGGGGAGGAGGGAGGAGGGAGGAGGAGGAGGAGGAGGAGGAGGAGGAAAAGGAGTAGATGGGGTCGGAAGACCTCGAAGCATCGCCGATACATCGGCAACGTCCGCGTGGAGAAGATCGCGCTCGACATCGAGCCGCATCGCCGATGCATCGGCAATGCGGCGCGCCCCTTTGACCCCATCTACTCCGACTCCATCTGGGAGGCCCAGACCCTAATCATCATTCCTCTCATTTTCTACGCCCAAAATGGGTACGGACAAAATGGGTACAATGTCCAACAACACATGTTGTCCCGAACCATCAGCAGCCGCTGCTGGGCAGGCGGCTTCTTTGTCTTCGAAGATCAACGTCCGCGGCGACGCCGGCAGCCAACCCTTTTCCAACTGAACAAGAACTGCTGTCGGTCCTTGTGCCCATTCTTTCCGTACAGCCAAGCCGCTGGAACGAGAAATGGTTCGGATTGGGAAGGGGCTCGACGTTCCTTACATACAGTAGGTCCGTCCATGGCTATTTCTCCAGCGTTCCTCGTCCACGCAGGCGGGTTTGGGGTCAAAGAAGGGGCTTCGTTCCTTATTTGGCGTTCCTTCTTTCAGCGGCCCGACTGTACCCATTTCGATCGTCCCGACTCTTGGGCCACGCGACGCCAGAGGCCGCGCGCGCCCCGGGCCAGCTCCGCTTTCTCCTGCGAGGGCGGGAACCGGCGGGCGCCCCAGCGTCGCGGGCGGGGGCCTCAGCCGCGTCGCGGCGGCCCCGCCCCTCTGGAGGGCACGGCAGGTGGCACGGGCGTCGGCGTCTGGGGAGGAGGGGTCGGGTAATCGTCCTCGTCCTCGTCCTCGTCCGATCTCGTCCTCGCCGTCCTCCTCCTCCTCCTCCTCGTCGTCGTCGTCGTCCTCCTCCTCCTCCTCCTCCTCCTCCTCCTCCTCCTCCTCCTCCTCCTCCTCCTCCTCCTCCCCCTCCCCTCTCCCTCCCCTCTCCCTCCCCCTCCCCATCGCACCCGGCCCCTCATCCAGCTCCTCCTCCTCCTCTTTCTTCTTCTTTGTCTCCTTCTTATTCTTCCTCCTCCTCCTCTCCTCCTCCTCCTCCTCCTCCTGCTCCTGCTCCTGCTCCTCCTCATCCTCCTCTTATTCCTCGTCTTCGTATTGTTATTAGTGTTCTCTTTGTTAGTAGTAAGTTTATTATTCGTCGTCTTATTCCTACTCTTAATATTAGTGATTTACTTCTTAACAGCAGTATTATTAATATTCGCATCTCCTTCGTCTGAGTAGTAGTAGTAGTAGTAGTTAGTAGTAGTTTTTAGTAGGTTAGTAGTAGTAGTAGTAGTAGTAGTAGTAGCAGTAGCAGTAGCAGTAGCAGTAGCAGTAGTAGTAGTAGTAGTAGTAGTAGTAATAGTAGTAGTAGTAGTAGTAGTAGTAGTCGTAGTAGTATTCTTAGTTGTCGTAGTATACGCCTTATTAGATTTCTTTGACGCTGTTGTCTTCGTCATCGTTTTCGTCTTCTTCTTCGGCTCATGTGTCTGATTATTAATATTATTGTGTTTATGCTTCTTCTGATTCTTCCAACTTTTCCCCCTCCTCCTCCCTCCTCCTCCTCCCTCCTCCTCCTTCTCCTCCTCCTCCTCCTCTCATCCCTCCCTCATCCTCGAGCCCCCCATTTCCTTGTCCCTTTCCTCCTCCTCCTCCTCCTCCTCCTCCTCCCCGTCCTCCTCCACCTCCTGCTCGTGCTCCTCCTCCTCCTCCTCATCCTCCCCCCTCCTCCTCCCGGTCATTCCCCTTCACCTGCCGTCACCCACGCACTCCGAACTTCTCCTCCTCCTCCTCCTCCTCGCCACCCTCCCCTGGACCTCGGGATGGGCAAACCGCCCCCTGACTGAGACGCCGCGCCCTGCGCCGAGACCAGGGCTCTGCGCGGCGGCAGGGCGCATGGGCACGGCGCGCAGAGGGCACTGGCCGACGCCCCGCCCCCATGTCAGCTCGGCCCTCAGTTCCAGAACGGGTCGTCGTCGTCCTCCTCGTAATCGATAGCATCGGTGTACCTGGAGGCGAGGGCGGGGGATGAGATGAGCATTTCGGGCAGCAGCGGCAAGACAACCCGGCAGGGAAATGGAGGGATGAGGCCCGGCCCCGCAAGCAGGGAGGGGCGGTGTCCCAGTGCACCACCACGCCAACCTGTCCTATCCCACACGCGGCGCAGCTCCAAAGCCAAGGCGGGCTCCAGCACTTTGACCCGTGCCACGACGAAGGCGAGCGGAGGCGGAGCCGCCAAGGACGAGAAACATATAAGCCAACGTGGGCCCAAACAGTGTGTTCTGGCATACTATGTGGTGGAACATATGTGGTGTGGTAAATGCGGTGCAAACTACGTGGTGCAATTTACGTGGTGCAATTGATGATGAAAAACTTGGGGTTGTTATCTCCATTGCTCGCGCAATCATCCCGACCACCCACCCGCAACCAGGTTTTCAAAACCCACGCGGCGGCGATTACGAGTAGTGCTTGGTGATGGCTGGCACATCTCTACGGCCGCGCTGACGTGATCATGCTCGCGCGCACACCAGCCAGCCAATTTAATACAACTGACGCCGACGCGGCCGCAATGGCGCTCACCGATGGGGACTCCCCGACGCGTCTCACGGGCCGGGCTGGCGTGCGGGCTTTTCATTGTGAGTCGGTGATCGAGCAGGGGCAGTATCATGGCGCCGTCGACAACAGCGGAAACAATGAAGATGGTACCGATGATGACGACGATGATGACGGCAAGGCCAATGACGGCGCTGATGCTGGTCACGCCGATGACGATGATGGTGTCCACGTTTCGGTGATGAAAAGAATGGAAGGATTTCAACATGCGCGCGCGGCCGACGCGCGCGAATGGCCGACCGACAGTATTTGACAGGGATCGTGCCGCCCCCAGCAAGCGCGCAAGGGCGTTCGAATGATTTCGGCACGCGCGCACAAGAGGCCCATTTGGTCGAATGTGGTGAACATGTTGAAAACAATCATGGGGTTTTCAAAGAACTTCGCAAAAACGCGCGCACGGACAATGTGTTGAAACATCATGTTGCACAACCAGTAATGTCTCATATTTTCCGGGAACCTCGACCTTCACAACTTCGCGAAACCATATTCCCCAACGAGAGCTTGCCTCTGTCTGGGGTCCTACCGGATTCATGTGGTTAGGTCAAGTTTGCCGCCGATTTTCACTGCACGCCCAGGTGCCCGGGTGCCCCGGGGTGCCCGGGGGTGCCCGGGGGTGCCCGGGGGTGCCCAGGTGCCCAGGTGCCCGGGTGCCCAGGTGCCCGCAAGGTAGCCTTATAGCCTTATAACCCTAGAGCCTTATAGCCTTATAGCCCTATAGCCCTCCAGCCCTATAGCTGTATAGCCCCAATAGCTTAAAAACCTATAGCCCGAATAGCTCCATAGCTTTATACCCATATAACCCTATGGCCATATAGCCCTATAGCCCCATAGCCCTGTAGCCCTATAGCCCGATAGCTCTCTAGCCCCTCTAGCCCTATAGCCCTTTAGCCCCATAGCCCTATATCCTTCAAAAGATTATGATTGGGTTTTTCTCTGGAATCATGTTTTTAATCGACATCTGCATGCGCGCGACACCGCGCGCGTGGACTTTGTCACATTGCTGTTGCAAGGGCTTGCTGAAAACGCATGGTTTGAGAACACAGGAAATTTGCGCGCTTATTATCATTTGACACGGGTGAAGGGCGGGCAATACTGGCCTGCTTGGAATGGTAGGAGCTCATCAGAGTGAGGGGGCCGAACGGTCATTCACTGTCCCTGGGTGCGTGGCTGAAATGGGAGTCCGCGATGCGGCGATGCGGATTATTGTTGTGGTTGTTGTAAGTGTTTGTTTGTTTATTTGCTTGCTTGTTTGTGTGTTTGTTTGTGTGTTTGTTTGTTTTGTTGAACTCCCACTACTGAAGAAGAATTCTTCTTGATCCCTCCCCTCCGGTGACCACTGTGTTTTTTTCAATTGGAGTGCTCCCCCCCCGGGGCGCGCACCCTGTTTTTTCTTATCAGGGAAACTCGCTCGGGTCAAACTACGTTGTTGACCCCCGAACTACAACAACAACGGCTCCCGCCGGATACTTCCTCACAGTGTATTCCCAAATCGCGCTCTCGCGCGGGACTTCCTCACAAGTTATTCAGGAATCGCGCTCTAGCGTGGGACTTCCTCGCAATTTATTCAGACGCCGCGCCCTCGACATTCAGGACTCACGCTCTCGCTGTGGATTTCCTCACGATTGGTTTGAGAATCGAGCTGTCGCTCGAGACTTCCTCGTGATTCACGCAGGACGCACACTTGAACAATCCGCCTGCTCGATCTGGCCGCCTGGGCCCTCCTTCCCGACCCGCCTGGTAGGATCTACCCGCCCGATCTGCCAGCCTGGTTCTGCCACGTGTTTTCTGCTCCTAGCCCGTACTCGCTCCATCCCCCTCCCTCCCCCTTGTCCTTCCTTCCATCCGCCCTCTCTTCCGCTGCCTCAGGGGCTGCGCGAAATACACGTTGCAGGTAAAAAAATATACCCCCAATGGGGTTACGGTCGAGGACGAAGAGGGCGGGTATCGAGGGTTCGGGATATACATGTTTAGTGGCACGCGAGCAGATAAGAATGAACAATCTTATTTTGATTGTTGTTACTGTTGCTGTTGTTGTTTTTGCTGTTGTTTGGCTCGTCCCCCACGCGACCTGGCCCGCGACCACCCCGCGACCCACCCCATGACCCACATGTGACCCAGCCCGCGACCCACCACGCGACACACCCCGCGACCCACCCGCAACCCACCCCGCGACCCACCCCGCGACCCACCCCGCGACCCACCGCGACCCGGCCCGCGACCCACCCGCGACCCACCCGCGACGCACCCTGTGACCCACCCACATGGCTTTGACAACAAAAACGGCGCCTGCGGCGGGCTCACTGCATAATTTATAAAAAGTAGGCGCCTGCGGTGGACTTCTTCAGAGCCTCGCAGACTGCAAACGTCCTCTTCGCCCACTCACTCTTATCCGCAACTGCGTGGCATATCCAAGAGGCCTCTGGTCTTCCTGTTCGCCCTCCTCCTCCTCCTCCTCCTCCTCCCCGATCCTCGTCTCCATCCATCAAATCATCCTCCTCCCTCCTCCATCCTCCCTTCTCCCTCCTCCCTCCTTCCCCTCTTCCCTCCGCTCCTCCTCCTCCTCCTCCTCCTCCTCCTCTGGTTCCTCCTCTATCCGATTCCTCCCTCCCTTGGGGTAAGACGGCTTCCCAGCCTTTATTCAACTGCGGGTTCCCCCACGTGCCTGATCAGGGCAACTACCCTGGGCATCCTTTCCGGATGGACTGATGGGGTTACGCAAAACGTCTAGAACTTTTTTTATATTTTGAAAAGGAGCACCTATGTGGTGCAACCAATCACTTGCTCAACTTGAAGCTGTCCTCTCCATTGCTCGCGCAAACATCCCACCCTCCCACCCGCAACTTGGTTTGCAAAGAATCTTAAGACCGACTACGACGACACCGACGACAACGACGACGACGACACCGACGACGTCTCCGACGACTTCGACGACGACAACGACGCCGACGCCGACGCCGACGACGACGACGCCAACGAAGGCGACGACGAGGGAGGAGGAAGGACGACGACGGCGACAACGACGACAACGACGACAACGACGAGGGAGGAGGGAGGACGGCAACGACGCGAACGACGACGAAGGAGGAAGGACGGCGACGCCGACGACGACAACGACGAGGGAGGAGGGAAGACGACGACGAACGACGACGACGACGGTGACGAAATAGAACCGACGACGAGACGCCGACGACGGACGACGACGACGACGTGGGAGGAGGAGGACGGACGACCACGGCGACAACGACGACGGAAACGACCACGACGCCAAAGAGGACGACGACGACGAACACGAGAAAAGACAGAGGACGACGTAGGCGACGACGACGACGACGACGCGGGAGGAGGGAGGACGGCGACGACGACGACGACGACGACGTAAGAGCGCGCGCGCACGCTTTTGTTGAACATCCGTCTTGCGAAACCTTCGGTTTTGTAGGTTTTTTGGACGCACGATTTTGAAATCCTTCCGAAACCGATGGGTTTTGAAGGTTTTCGGCGTACGCCCGCGACGACGCGCGCGTCTGCACGTCGTCCGATTTTTTGCAAAGGATTCTCGCGACGGCACACGCGCAAGGGCGTTCGACAGATTTCGACATGCGCGCGCGCGAAGCCCTTTCGGTAGCATTTTGTGAAAATCTTGAAAACCTGTGGTTTTCTTAAGATTTTGCAAGAGCTCGCGCGGAAGCTTGTTTAGCAAATCAGTGTTGCGAAACCAGGTGTTTTTTCCCTACCTAGGCTCTGCCTAGAAGGGTTCTTACTCTCTTAGCTTAAATGGCCGGGCAATGGAAAGCGCCCCGGGCGGTTCCCCTGGTCCCCGCCCCGCGGTTCCCCCAGTCCCCTGGGAGCTTTAGCTTTAGCTTTAGCTTTAGCTTAGCTTTAGCCTAGCTTTAGCTTAGTTTTAGCTTAGCGTTAGCTTAGCATTAGCTTAGCTTTAGCTTAGCTGCAGCTTAGCTTTAGCTTTAGCTGAGATGTAGCTTAGTTTTAGCTTAGCTTCAGCTTAGCTTTAGCTTTGCGTTAGCTTAGCTTTAGCTTAGTGTTAGCTTAACTTTAGCTTAGGTGTAGTTTAGATTTAGCTTAGCTGTAACTGAGCTTTAGCTTAGCTTTAGCTTCGTTTTACTTTAGTTTTAGTTTAGCTTTAGGTTAGCTTTTGCTTAGCTTTAGCTTAGCTTTAGCTTTGAGTTAGCTTTGCTTTAGTTTAGTTTCAGCTTAGCTTTAGCTTAGCTTTAGCTTATATTTAGCTTATATTTAGCTTAGCTGTTCTTAGCTTTAACTTAGCTGCAGCTTAGCTTTACTGTTACTACTAATGCTGCTTTCCTAGGGGCTCCAACTCCTAGGTAGGGTCGCACTGGGATAATGTATGTCTTTTGGGAACTCGATTGCGAAGTCCTTCCGGCAC